GCCCCCCCCCCTCCCCACGCCCGGCCGCTGCCATTCGGTGACTTCTGCGCGGCTCCGCCCCCCGCCTTCCAGGGCCACGCTTGTGTTGGGGCTCGGGGCTGGCTGCGCCCTGGGCACTCGCCTCCCGCACTCACTGCGAGGGGCGCCCGGCCACATCAGGGCCCTGCTCAAACCCGCGCCCCCGCCCTGTTCAAGCTGGGCCTGGAGTTACGGCTGGGTGCGCAGGGCCCCGTCACCCCGGCCTCGGGGCACCTTCTGGAGACTCGCACTCTCGTCTCCTGGCCCCGTGAAGTGCGGAGAAATCAAGTAGTTGGGCCAGAGTCTGGCTGAATGCAGCTCTCCTAAGACCACATACGGTGCCTTAACCTCAAGGCTGCTCTTCAGCTTAGGCTAGAGTTGCGAAGGTAGAGTTTAACCGTACACATCATAATTAAAGAAGCAGCTTCGTTGATATGGGAAATTGTATCAAATTCAGTTCATACGCCGTTATCAGAATTAATTAAGTCCTACACCTCCAAAAAGAACAACCAAAGGATTTTATTTTGTCACCACATTTGGCACATATGGCAGTATACAGGGAGGAAACAGATGGCTTGTCTAAGAAGGTGCTTTTTTTTTAAGATACTCTTCATAATCGACCCATACTTACTGAAGGTCACACAGTAAATGGCAGAACCATACTATAACAGTGCTTGTGACTGTCATAAAATAACTAAATACAAATAATAGTTTTTTATTGACAACTGAGGGACTTGAAATAACACTTTGCACTGTTCTGACATAGCTTCATAGATATAGTATTAGATACTAGCTAAAACACTAGGTATTTGCTGATGTTCATGAATTCATCATTAATTGTAAATTCTGACAGTTTATATATGCTGATCCTCCTTATGTCTTTTTTTATTTTAATTTATTTTTCATTTGCTATTAAAAACATATTTATGTTATGTTTAAATATTGCCTGTAATTTTGTCTTTTAGATGTACAATTTTTTCTCTTCAAATCTGGTCTAAAAATAGAAGTTGTGGTGATGGGTTTGTCTGCTTCATCTCCATCCATTGCCCTTCACTCACCAAATATATCTGTAAACCCTCAGACAGCATCTGCACCTTCAGAATGTCCAATGCATCAGGAAAAAATGGAAGGTAACTACCCCCCAAAATGGAATGAAACAAAATCTAAATCTCAGAAAAATGCTTTGAAAGATATTTGCCAAGGACGGAAAGATGTTAATCAGCAAATGATTGCAAGTGTTTTCCCCTCAAAAATGCAACTAGTATTTTTAAAGGTGAAGACGTGTGAGTTTCTCACCAAGCTTTTTTTTTATGTACTACAACCATGGTTTAGCACTCTTACATTTCTTACATCAACATAGGTCCTATTCATGTCTTTAATTACTGAAATCTAGGAAGATAACAGGAACTAATTCTCAAATGCATTTTATACGTGTGAAGTCATGTATACTCTTTAAGTTTAATTCATTTCAGTGACCTGATATCTTTTAAACTGTAGATGCTGAAAGTTAATTTAATCTTAAGGATGGGAGGAGTTACATCATTGTAACTATTACACATTCTCCATTAAATGAATCACCAACTCCATTATATCAAATCACCACAAATTAGTATTTAATTCTTTTAAGTCAGTTTTTTTTTATTCATCATTCCCTTCTTAGATCCAGCTCTTGCACAGGCAGACCATAGCATACGCAGTCTGAACTGAATCAGTGGGGCTCCCCATAGAGTTTGGAATTTCAGGAACAGGGCTTTTGATGCAAATAGATGTTGAAAAATAAGGTGAATTATTTTTCAGTTGCTTAGTGTCTGCATTTGATCAGAGACTTTGGTGTAAAGGTTGTACCTCCCTAACCCAGGACTCTGCCAGACCACGGATATTCCTGGACCAGAGAAGCCAGTGGCAGGGAGGCCAGTGGTTAGCAGGCGTCTCGGGCAATGTGGGGAGCACAGTGCCAGGCAGCTCAGGTAGCGTGGGAATCCCATGATGTGGCCAGAAGCCCTGTGGCAGGCGGCTCTGGTGGCATATGGAGCCCTGGGGGTCCGCCAGGACGGGGAACTCTGGTAGCGCAGTTAGATATGCGGCAGAAGTTTAGGCAGTGCAGGGAGCCTTGCAGCTTATCTAGGAGTCCTGTGGCAGGGGGCACAGACGGTGCAGCGGGGAGTCCCAGGGACGAGGAGTCCAACCAGGACCAGCACCACAGCTGGCTGAAGGTAGTGGGGCTGACTGGGGCCAAAAGCAGAGTCGGCATGTGTCTGGAAGGCCAGTGACATGAGACTTCCCTGGTCCAGCAAATTCCCTTGTTTGGGACTGGCCAGGTCCCAAGGGTGCTGGACTATGGAGGTCCAACCTGTATTACTTATCAGGTGAAATCTGTGGATTTCATTCTCTTAGGAACCATCAAACTGCTTATACAAAAAACTAAAATTTGTTGTTTATTTAAATTTAAAAGTCATGTTGAAACTACAAGTATAAGAATGAAAAAATTGCCAGCTCTTTAACTGACAAGGTTATTTTTATCTAATTTGAACTGTCAATATAATTTTGTTGCTGTCCTTTAAAAATAAGACTGTCAGGGCTGTTCCCCACTCTGGCACTCCCAAGTGCAGGAGATATGGGCCTGCAAAGATCTTAAATACCTTGCCTCTTACTATGGGTTTTGCTTACAAAAAAAAGTCCCCAGAGTCCCAGATGCGCTTGCTCCGAGAAAAAACAAACGTGAAGCTACTACCACCAAATGATTTCACCCTAAAAAACCAGGAGGGAACACTTGAATTCCTTCACCGGGGTACCCCAAAAGAGCTTGAAAAAAGAAAAGCGAGAAACAAGCCATAGTCTCTGATAGCTGACTGCCCAGTTTTATGCAGACAAATACATACACGGACCCTTGTTACTTTCCAGGATACAAGAATCAAATCATCACCTTTAAAAAATGATTTTAATTAACAAACAAAAGATATACTTGATAAAGCATACTTGGTTTCTAGGTGTACAGAGCAACTAAGTAAAACAAATTAAAACCCAGAAAATCTCTGGGAACAACTCTTAGATAGTGAATGGGCGAGGGGAGGCAGGGATTCACATAGAGAAGTTTAAACCAAACAACCAAAATAAAGAAACCTTGATCTGAACTAGATATGCTTTTCTCTTCTACTCTTGATACATGCTGATCTGTACTTCAAGGTCCAGTTTCATAGGATCATAGAGCTGGAAGAGACCTCAGGAGGTCATCAAGCCTAGCCCCCTGCCCAAGGCAGGACCAATCCCTATACGAGTTTACTAAGTTTACTCCCATGTACTATATTTCTTATAGGCATGGTAATTGTGATCCCTGCATTTTCTTTCTCCAGCCCTTTTCTTAGAAATCCCCACAAAGGAAGAGCAGACCAGGTATCTATATCCAATTCAAATTTCAGAAATGTATCCCCATTGGTTCTTTTGGCCCCTTGCCAACACCCTTGGTAGCTACCTGAATGTAACCACTTAATCACTGGTGCTGGCCAGCACTCCTATCCATCACAAAGCCATAGTATCTTCTTGTTAAGAGTAAGTTGGAGCCGCTGCTCAATTAAAAAGAACAAATGTTGTGGCTTGGTGAACTCGGAAGGCATCTCTACATGGCAGGACTAAAGCTGAAATAAGCTACACAACTTCCGCTATGTCAGTTGTGTAGTTTTAAGTCAAAGTTTGGCTGTTGGTGTTGCCTACACAGCAGGAAGTCAAAGGAAGAGCATTCGTCCTTCAATTTTCCTTACTCCTCGTAAAATGAGGGTTACAGAAGTCAGAGTAAGAAGTCCTCCAGCTCAATATTATTTCAGCATTATGTCGAAGTAACTACTTGCAGTGTAGACATACCCTATGTTATGGTGTTGTGTTATAGATGTACCCAAAGAGAATTGTCTTGTTAACCTATATGCACATCACGTTCTTCCCTTTCCCAGTTCTGTTGTATTTTATTATAATTTTTTTTCTACTAATGTATGGTTTAATGCTTTCTTTATTTCAGGTTGTCCAATGCACATGAAATTTCCTGACCAAGGTGCTGAGAACCAAAATAATACTGTTCCTGCACATCAAGATAAAGCATATGAATATGTGGCGTGTCCTATGAAATCTAGTACATCTCTAATAAAGGATGACATAGATCCTAGAAATATGGTAACTTTTATGTGGTTTGTGTCTTCTTAAGATCTGTTATTTTCTGAAGCATGTTAACTATGAAAATGAGTAGCATTGGCATACACACAAGCATGATGGCTATTAAAGCTGTTACTCCTTCATACTGAATTTCCTGGTCTTATATTTCTGTTGCAAATACACTTAAGAGAAACTGCTGAACAATTAAGGCCAAAATTTTGTCTGCTTTTAGAATCCTTTCACTTGGGTAAAGAGTGCCCTTACAATTACAACATGCTATATGTGTGTTAACGGTTCATTTCCAAGGCTGAATGGTGTTCTAAGCACTGTGGTGTATTGATTGGTGAGCTCAATCTGATAGGATTGCTCAAATGGGTCTGAAGCAGGACCTGAGCAAGGTTTTCACTGTCTAAAATAAAATCGTGATGTGGAGATTTGGATTTAAAAAGGAGAGCGAGGCAGCGGTAGGCATGGATGAGAAGTACCAGCTCCAAGAGAAATAGATAGTTCTTCAGAGTCTTTACAAGGGCCAAGCTTTTTGATGTCTGTAAGCAACTGTTTTGTTGCAACTTTTTAAAAATCACTTATGATATAGCAGGATACTTTTGGCTCTGAGTTTTTGTTAAATCATTTGTGTTTAGATGCCACCACCTAATCAAATGCCATCCCAGGATCAGCCATTTCCACTATCAACTGTCAGAGAAGAATCTTCCATTCCTAGAGCACAGTCAGAACAAAAATGGGTTTATCCTTCTGAGCAAATGTTTTGGAATGCTATGCTGAGGAAGGGGTAAGTAAATTGATTTTTACTCAATAGGATTAGGGATGAGAACAAGTAGTCAAGTAGACGATGAACCTAGGCTTATTGAAAAAACAACAAATGGTCTGGTAGCACTTTATAGACTAATGAAACATGTGGATGGTATCATGAGCTCTCGTGGGCACAGCCCACTTCTTCAGATGACTGGAGTTATGAGTTGGGGATATGAAACCCTCTTCTATTTATTTTGAGTTAAAGGGAGGGGGGAGAAGAAAAAAAAAGAGATGGGGGTGGGAGACAGAGAATCATTAAGTATCTGGAGAATGGGTACTTAAACCTAAGCAGATAAAAATCAAAGTCAATAGATAGATTCCTAGAACAGGAAGGATACCGCTCAGGAAGCTGTTAGTGCCTTCAGTGGTTATTAAGTAGGTAGAGTCCCCACCAGCCCATATCATGATTGAGTCCATTAACGTGTGAATTGAATTTGTGGATGAACTGGGATTCCAGGGCTTCTCTGTGTATTTGGCTTGTAGACAAGACAGCTACTTGCAGGTCTGTCTGACTGTGGTTAGGCAAGGTGAAATGTTCACCAACAGATTTCTGTATATTCCCTTTACGTATATCTGATTTGTGTCCATTGATTCTTTCCTGCAGAGACTGTCCAGTTTCTCATATGTGTATATATATATATATCTATGAGAGGGAGAGGGGAAAAAAAAGTGGGGCACTGCTGGCATTTAATGGCATAGATCAAATTACTGGATGTACAGTCAAATGACCTTTTGATTTTGTGGTATAGGTTTTTTGCTCCAATGATGAATTTGCCAGTATAGATATGTGGGTAGAGTTGGCATCTTTTTTGGTTGCAGGGCTGAGTTCCTGGAGGTTTATGATGTGGTTGTGTGGCATGATTATCAGAGAGAATACGTTTCAGGTTACGGGGTTGTCTGTAAGCAAGAATAGGTTTTTGTCCTAAAGCCTCTGAGAGTGAGGGATCATTTTCCAAGATTGGTTGTAGATTGTGTATAATGCGTTGGAGGGGTCTGAGTTGTGGACTGTAGGTAACAACAAGAGGAGTTCTGTTATTTTCTCTTTTGAGTCTGTCTTGAGGTAATTCATGTCTGGGTATTTTTTTGGTTCTGTCAGTTTTGTTTTTTCAATTCCCCAGGTGGATATTTCAGTTTTAGGAATGCTCTGTAAAGATCCTGTCTCTGTCTGGGGTCGGAGCAAATCTGGTTGTATCGTAGAGCTTGGCTGGTGCTAGGGAGCTGGTTTTTTAAATTGGCTTCCCTCGTGGGTCGGCTCCTGCCTGGCACTCCACGCTGCTGTCTGATACAGCGACAACAGCATGGGCTGGCAGGGTGATCCCCGGGAGTGGGGCTGTAGGGCACTGGCTGCCAGCCTTGCCCCCGGGGACTCTAAAATAGTTGACTAACTGCATAAGCATAAGAATTCATGCTGTCTAACATCCCTAAATAGAATGGCGCTAGCCTGAAGACTGCAGAATAACTTACTATATGTTGATATAGTAGGCATTTAATTAAGGGTCTGATGGGTTGCAGGCAATAATCAGGTTGGTCAGAGACATTAGTATTCTTTTAAAAAGTTTTCCAAAGAGTACACTGGTCTCAAACTTGGTGGTCATGTTTAGTCTTTAGAGAAGAAGAAAAAAAAAGTTCCACCATTATGAACACTAACTAGATCAGGTCCACTGGTCCAGTGTCTTCTGTGTCCGTCAGTATAAAAGCAGTTAGACATTCAGGGTATGTCTAGACTATATCCCTCTGTTGCCAGAGGGATGTAAATTAGACATACCGACATTGCAAATGAAGCGTGGGGTATTTAAATATCCCGTGCTTCATTTGAATAAAAATGGCTGCAGCATTTTGCCAAGTCAGCACTTTGTCTGCAAAAAAACGGCTGTCAAGACAGGGATCGGGTGACAAAGAAAGCCTTTGTCGTCTGATCCCTTATGCCTCATAAAACAAGGTTTATAGGATTGGTTAACAAAATGCTTGCTTTGTCGCCTGATCATCGTCTTGACAGCTGCTTTTTGCCGACAAAGTGCTGACTCGGCAAAACATGGTGGCAATTTTTATTGAAATGACGCGCGGGATATTTAAATCCCTGTTTCATTTGCAATGTTAATATGTCTAATTTACATCCATTTGGTGACAGAGGGATGTAGTCTAGACATACCCTCACTGAATAGGTTAAGATCAACTGGTGTTAAAAATACTGGTGGCTATAGGAACTTCGCATATGACTGGGGCTTGCTGGTGTTGGCTAGCATCATGGAATGAAAATGGTTTTAGCAATAGTGTGATTTGTGTTTTTAAAAAAGAAAGTGCTAGTGTAGACAAGCCCTGAATGAAGCACGTAAGTCTGTTAGCCAAAAAATGCTTTGGATCAGT